AAAGGGGAGGAAAGGAAAGGGGAGGAAAGGAAAGGGGAGGAAAGGAAAGGGGAGGAAAGGAAAGGGGAGGAAAGGAAAGGGGAGGAAAGGAAAGGAAAGTTCATGGCTGGACTCAATGACCCAAACTCGATGGCTCTGTGCAATAACTCTGGAGAATGAGCAGTGACCATAGCACACCTGTTTCTCCTACAAACTACCTTGTCAGCCCTGAGGCATCACCTCAGTCCCTGGGAATGTTCTGTTCTTCTTTCCCCAGGCTCAGGATGGAGCTGTGCCCTGGTAAGTGAAGAGGTGGAAGACACAGGGCCTGAGATGGGAAAAGGAAGTCACAGGTTCCCACTCACATTTCTCAGGTTCTCTCCTTCTCATGTAACAATTCTTTCAGCTTCTATGATTTAAAATCCTTCATCACCTCTTCCTCCCACCCATCCTTTCCTTGTGCATTTTGATTTCCAGGCCCATCTACCACATGTTTTTCTGCCATTTCTGCAGGACTGGGATGAACATTGATCACAGCCATCTCAAGCCCATCTCTCATTTTTCCCAAAGAGCTGATGAAAATGTCACCCATGAGATAATAATCATGTTGCTTACATCCCTTAATTGCTCTCAAAGTACACGTCGAGGCTTCAGAGCCTCTTTGAAAGGCAGGGTCTGGCCTTTGGCACATTATTGACAGGCTGTTGATAAGCCCCTTTGTTGAGAAGCAATTTTGTCCTTTTTCCTGTCCAATTTTTTGGTTTTTTTAAAGACGGCCCTTTCAGAGAGAGTAGATTTTTAAAATAGAGCTGAGCTTTGAATGAACAGGCATCAGAGTTATTCCCAAGGAGCAGTGGCACACGTGGGAGAGGAGAGCTACCAGCACACTTCGTGCAGGACTCTGTACAGGAAATCAAACTGAGATGACAAATGGCTTCATCCTTGTTGCTTTTTAGTCCTTCCCCTCTCAGACCTGATAATAAGATGTTTATTTGTTTATTTGCAGTGTATTACTAAAGCATTGGACGTCTTGTGTGTTCTAATGGATTGTTCCATGGTAAACAGGAGAAAGTGGACACTTCAGCTGTGCAATGACTCATTTGTATCTATTAGTGATAATTCCTAGGGGTTTTTAATACCTGCTGATAAAAGTGGACTGAGATTTCCTCATCACAACCTCCCCTCCTGGTTTCAAAAGCTTTGCAGGTCTGGGGCAGGACAGAGCAGATCCAGGCACACAGAGCCTCCAGCAGCAGCGGAGCCTGTGGCTGGTGCCTGAGCAATTCCCACCTCAGCTGCTGATTCCCAGAGGACACACAGGCTTTGAAGTCACCTTTTTAACAAAGATTTATTGTAATGTGTCCCTGAGGTGAGTCAGGGTCCTCCTGGGTAGATGTTGTGGGTTCCTCTCAAGGTAACCCCACCACAGCCTCTGGCACAGCCAAGCTCCAAACTCCAAGACAGCTTCCTGAGCAAAATCCCCAGGCTCTTTTCAACTCAACCCCAGCCCCGAGAGAAATTTAATTCTTTCCTTTCTGAAACAATGTCCCTTGGAATGATTTTGCCCTTAATGAGCCCCGACTGGGCTGCTGTGTTCTGGAGCCACTGGTGTGCATGTTAACGAGGAGCTCGCTCCGTGTGGAAGTGTGGAGATGGCTGGCCCTGTAATGGGAGTCTGTTCAGCATCCTAAATCCTGCATTAGGCTGTGCCTGTGGGAACCCTGGGATGTTCCACAGAGACTGTCTGAAGGTAATCATCCCTCCCATCCTCCTGGCTGTCCCTAACCGAGTGCTCAGCTTGCAGCTATTCCAGGAACCGCTGCAGACATGATAAAGTTTAGCCCCTAATGCCTTCACCAGCAACAAGGTGGGGAAAGTGCCCGTTGATTTGGGATGGAAAGGGAAGAGACAAAGGGCTGTGGTATCCAGAGAAATCTCCACCTCACTGGGATTTGGGGCTTGAATCCTGTGAGGGACTGGGAGCCCTGGAATTTCATTGTTTTCTCTGAATGGGCTCAAACCATGAGTGATACTCAAAAAAAATCATCTGTCTTAAATTTATCTTTGAGTCCTGCTTGATTCAAATGATGCATCCCAGTAATTCCCATACCAGAAACTAATTTCACACATCACATCCACTTAAATACACGCTGTACAACATGTAGAGGTCCACACGCACGTTTAGATATGTGTGTTACATGGAATGAGTCCATTCTTTAAAAATTCTGGAAAAGGAATTCTTCCATTCCCTTATTGACAGACCAGCAGAAAGATGTAACACTGCTCTTCTAGAAAAATATACCAGCTTATTTATTTTTGAAAGTTGTGAGCTCATTAGCTGGTAATTAATGTTCCACCCACCTGTGCAGCCCCTCATGAGGTCACGTAAAACCTGCTCAGAGCTCCAAGCCCACCTTCGTCAGCACTGGGTGAGAACTGCTGAGATAAAATGTTGTCTGAATTAGATGGGGAGGATTAGAAAGGTGATAAAAGCTAAGCCAGGGGAAAATCAGACGATAAATAGGTCTGGCAAGATAGATGGATAATCTTCCTCCCAGGCCAAACCTGACAGGATAATCACCTTTTTCTGTTCTCTGGTTCCATTTGCTCGCAGATCACCAGAGCTTTACAGATATCACTGAATTTGGTTTTCTGGTACCCTGGAAATGGGGATCACAAGGTCTATCTTTATAAACAAGGGATTTGAGGTGCCTTATTTAGGAATGGCTTTAGGTTTCAGATTAGGATTGCAAAAATCAGTCAAACCATTGTCTTTTCTCAGTTTGTTCCTCATCTCTCGCTGTGCCTCGGGCAGGGCTGAGGAGGAGCTGGTCGAACCAGAGCTGCTGCCACCTTTTCCAGAGTGGGAGTCAGTCCTGTCCTGTCCCAGGGCTGTCCCTGTCCCTGTCACCAGAGCCAGGCACTGTGCAAGGGCACAGCTCTGCTGCTGCTCCCTGATCCTGGTGGCATCTGGATTCAGCCGTGCACTGTCCTCCTGTCCCCTCTGCTTTCAGGGTACAGATTCTTTCTGAGCAGATCTAAACAACCCATTGGAGCAACTGAAAACTCTTTAAACATTCCCAGCTCTTTCCCACTTGGGAAAGAGTTTGTCTGAACTGGCCTTTGCTCTCCTTGCTCCTGAGAAATTTCCATTGCTCCTGATCCATGCAAGGGCTGAGCCTGCAAAGCACTGCCCTTTGCTGGAGCCTTTGCCCTCCAGATGGGGACTCCTTGTCTGAGGGAAGGAATTCAGGGTAAGTTTTCAATCTCTCTGTGGCATTGATTTCTCCATGAACATTCGACTGGCAACACAGAGCAATGGAATATTTGATTAGCCAGAATTACAGACCACAACATTAATAATTTTGTGAGCTGAAGTGAAAAGATTTGCACTTGTTCTCACTGGGAATGGTGCAATTTTCTCCTTTCTAAGAGAAACTTTACTCTAATGGCAGGGTGCATTGTCATTCCACAGGAGCAGGTATTGTCTATTGCCTCTGATTTTGGGGGGCTTGAATCCATGCAATTTTCATCTGGGCTGGACTCTTGTAGGTAGACTGTTCATCATGGTTCTGGATTTTCAAAAGAAGTTAGCAATTTTGGACACCTTATATTTGTGTTTGAGACACTCTGAAAGGGACCAATTACAAGAGGCAGGTGCTTAGAAAATCAGGATTAATTGGAATATGTCATGCTGGGCACCTGAAAACACTAAAATGCTTTGGAAAATCACAGGGGAGGGAGTTATGTTTCTGAACATGACTTGGGATGAATGTACAGCTTTAAGTAACACAGGATAAAGAGGTTTTCACATAAGTTTATGGAAACATCCTTTAATCCTCAGTGCAGCCAAGTGCTTGACTTTCATTTGATTCCTGAGGGAGTTCGGTGCTGAAGTTTGTGCAAGTGCATTTGTATTCTCCTGAAGTGGAGCCTGACAGTGTGTAAGTTACTGTAGGTTTATGAAAAATTCTGAGCCTCCAAATGTAGATAAATCAAAAGGCAAAGTTCTGTTCTCGAGGACACACAGGGTTTGCTGCCTTGTTCACCTGCAGAGCCACAGACTGTGTGTGCCATGGAAGATATTTTCTTTGCCCTTTCTAAAATCCCTGATCCAGAATCCCAGAGTTGGAATCTTTACGTGCTGAACACACACAGAACACAATTTCCACGTCCCAAGGAGCTTTAAGGTCCCCTCCAACCCAAACCATTCTGTCATTCTATGATTTGGGTGAGCAGAAAAACCAAATCCTTTGCTCCCTCTGGCCCTGATCTGTGGCCTGAAGGCTGCAGGACTGGGGTGGGTGTAGTGGGGCAGGCGCTGTGTCCCCAGGGCTGCGTTTGAGAGAGGCTGGAGGGGAACCCCTGCAGGTGTCTGGGGCAGAACAAACCCCTGCCAAAAGCACAACAACCTCATCCTGTTTATGCAGGCTCAAAAGCTGTTGTAGATCTCGTGTCTGAAATCCACTCTCTTTTTCCTGCTGAGATTCCCAAGCACCTCCCAGTCTCCCAGCTACTACCAGATGCCACGATTGCAGTGGAGTGGCAGCGACACACAGACAAATATTTGTGCAAGGCACACAGAGCCAGGAGCCTGGAACATTGTCTGTGTGCTGGGAGGGGGAGAGGGCAAGAAGAATCCTGCCTTTAACAGGCTTTATTTCTATTGAATTTTAAACAGCAAAAACCTGGATGTTTGTATGGTGTTTATTTCTAGCTGAATTTCAAATATGGTGTTTATTTCTAGCTAAATTCCAAATATTTCCTTCCAGCAGGTGACGTGGGACCCTCCTGCCAGATTCATTTCCAGTTTATTCATTTTGAAGAATACTTAAAGGGTCAGGAATTAAATTGAATTAAGTTCAGACCTTACCCCGAGTCCCCTGTTCTTCAGAGACCTCTGGGTTGGATCCATCTATGAGATCTACAGAAAATTGTCAGTAAAAAATAAAAGTGACAAAATATGCCCTGAACAAATGGAAATGAAACTTTGATTAAGCAAGACTTCACAACACAAAATTTAGTTAGCTTTGAGGATATGATATCATCTGCCCTACTATTTTTATATTAAATATGAAATCTGATTGTGGTAATTTCCCAGAATGTGGAGATAAACCCATAAAAGCAGGAATAGATATCTGGTGCAATATAATTTTCTGGCTTCTTCTACAAGGCTTTTTGAGGCAGGAGGTGAAGAATATGGGAATTTTCCCCTTATTTTACAGCTGAACCTCAAGGAGAAAAGATGATGTTGGTGTTGGCAGGAAGAAGGCACTGCCCAGACTGAACCTCAGCAGTTGTTGCATTCAGGACAGATCAGAGTCACTGTGTGCACACAGAACTGATGGGAGATGGCAGAAGATTTACAGAGAGATAACAAAGATATCTCTCCACTCTAGCTCCATAGGGAAACACTACCACCCTTACTCTGTTCCATGTCTATAAAATATGTCTAAAGGCTCTGTGCATATTCAAGGCCTGAAAGGAAATAACTTTCTTTTTGAGTGTTTTTCTTCTTTTTTTTTTTCCCCAAAAATATTTAATTCTGAAATAAAAAATAGGAGTTTCCTTAAAATGGAGAACAGCTTGTTTCCTTTTCCTATCAGAGGCCAACATCACTCAGGAAAAATACAAGTGTAAAGACAGGAGATGTGGCCAGGCTGAGCCTGGATTAAATCACCTTGAGCCTCTGTTCAGCAAAGTGTTTAAACACACATTTAGCACAGCTGGGGGAGAATTTCCAATAAATTGGGATTCATTCAGGGAATATCCTGGCTTCCAAAAATGGAGATAAAACAAATGCAGCAAATCCCTTCAGCTGGCAATAGCTCTGTGAGATGCTTAATTTCCAAAGTGCTCAAACACTTGAACATTTTATCTTTTTTATTTTCTCTTTTAGATCCTTGGTTTAATAATCTAAAGAGAAAAAAATGCTTTATTTCAGCTTGAGCCAGAGAGAAATACTTTGTTTTTTTAATATAAATAAATACTTTATTTTTTAAAATACTTTAATTTTGTCAAAATTAAAGCAAAAAAAACCCTTAACCTCTTAATTTGATCATGCTCAATTTTTTTTTCCTCTTGAGGGGGAGCATTTTGGGAAAAAATCCACTCTGATTTAGCCTTTGAGCACTTCAACATAACACAATCTGTCAATGGACCCAAAGTGTGCCACTACTGCAAGGCAGATTTTGAGTAGTCAGATAGAATCAGCTGTGGAGGAAAAATAATTTCAAATAAATGTCCATGAAGCATCATCTCCCAACAGTATCTTGGTGAAATGTCCTGTTTCTCCTACAAACTAGGGAATTTTAAGAGGAACTTTACACATGAACTACCAGTCAGCCACATTTTCAAAACAAGAGTGTTTGGGTTTTCCAGCATAAAGCTTTGATGTTGAGTAGATGGGAAGTGCAGGTTACATTTGGATTCACGTAATCATTCCGTGCTTCCCGAATGTTTTCATTCCCTGCCCTACCCGAGGCTGTGAGTCTGTCTTTACCTGAGGCTGGCAGGGATGTTTGGAAAACGCATCCATCCCAAAGTCCCTTCCCACCTCATCCAGACCCCGAGTCCTTCCCGAGTGCGGTGCCCGGGGCAGTGGCACGGTGCTCCGGGGCAGCGGCACGGTGCCCGGGGCAGCGGCACGGTGCCCAGCCCCTGTGCGTCCGTGTCGGGCAGGGCTGGATGGGGACGCGACCCGGGCATCCCTATCCAGCACCGGGTATCTGCGGGCAGGTGACCGGGCTGTAGCGCTCCCCTTTCCGCTCCGCTGCCTCCCCTCTCCTGCAGAGACCCCTCCGGGCTGGACTCACCCCGGCCCCGGCGAACATCCAGCGCCGCCTCGGTGGCTCTGGGTGGGCGGTGATGTCCCGGGAGAGTCCTGCCCGCACCCGCCGGTGCGCGGTGCCGCTTCCCGGTGCCGGGCTCGTGTCCCGGCGCGGCCCCGCCGGGCGCTGTCCGTGGTGCTGATCCGCGGCCCCGCCGCCGGGATCCGCTCGGGCTCTCCCCGGATGGCCGCGGCTGCCCGCCGGGCCGGGGGAGAGCGGCGCCCCTTCCCCCGAGCGCTGCCCGCACCCGCCGGGTCCCTGCGCCGGCGGAGCCGCCCGGCAGAGGCGGGAGCGGCTCCACAGGTGGCCGAGGAGCCCCCGGCAGCATCTGCGGGGCTCACCTGCGCCTGGGCCACCTGAGCGGCGGAGGGGCCGAGGAAGCTGCCCTGCCTCTGCCTCGGGGCTTTTATGGCCCGCCGGGGGGGCGGCGGGCGGAGCGGCCGGGCGGGGACTCCGCGCCTCGGCCAACGGCAGCGGCCGCTCCGGGCAGCTGCGGCAGCATTACATCATGGGACCGCCCGCCTTCAGTGTAAGAGTCTCACCGGCAGCGCGGCCGCACGGCAACAGGTCCGGCCGGGGAGCAGCCTGGAAACGGGGCAGCGCCGGCGGAGCGCGCTCCGAGCTCTCCCTGGAGGGGGAACAGCCGGGACAGCCCGCAGGGAGAGCCCACCGGGCTCCAGCGTGAGCACGGAGCTTTGCTTGGTGCGGCTCACTCGCTCCGGATTCCCCAGGACCAAACGCCGCCAGCCTGTCCTCTCCATCCTGCCGCAGTGTCCCTCGGCCTGGGGCCTCGCACCCGCTGGGTTCCCACTCCAACGGACAAGCCAATCTTCAGCCCTTGTCATCCTGTTTTTGGGGCTGGCACAAACCCCAGCCCTCCATTTCTTCCCAAACCACCGAACTGAAAGACAGCCCAGGTCTGAGTACCTGGAATCCATTTGGATCTCTCCTGTTTCCAGAGCAAGGAGGTCAGACAGCTTGTTCCCCCAAGTGTGCCAAGAGCACAGCATTCAGCACTGAGAACAAATTTATTTCCTAACCCTCACCTCCAGAAACACTCATGTTCCTGGGTTTGACTGGGGGATGTCAGCAGGGATGGGTCTGAGTTGCACCTCTAGGATGGGAAACACACAGGTTGCAGACACCAATTTTTCAACACTGCCCTAAGTTACCCTAGATGTTCAGTCTGTTGAGTAAAGCTTGGTCTTCTGGTATATCCTGTGCATGGGATGTGTTACCACATGATATCAAAGGAAAAATAAGAATTGGTGGCAACATTAATTAGATAGAAATCAAAATGGTCCAGAGTTGAAGGCTTGGTCTGGGTAATACTTGAGATCTTGGGGCAATACTTGAGACCCACATTCAGGTCTGATTGGGGTAATTTCTGCTACAAATGGATCCCTGTGGATAAGCAGGGGCTCTTAAGACCTGTAAGTAAGAGCAGATGACATGAAGGAGCCCGTTTTCAAGTGGCACTGGATGCTATTCAAATTACAGAGTGATTACAATAAAGCCAGGTGCTCTGTTTCCAACTCTTTTTGTTTGTTTGTTTGTTTGTTTTCCCCCACTACCATGGATCACAGGCCAAATCCTTTGCCTGGCTTATGCCAGCCCAGGCCCTGCCCAGCCACAGCAACAACAACAGCGTTGTTTTGCCTGAGATAAAAGCTGGTTTGGGGCAGAATGTACCTGTGTGTGACACAAATCAGTGAACAGCCTGGGAGACTCAAGAGAGAGCACGAGCCTGGCAGGACCTTGCCATGAATTAGTCACAGCACAAAGAATGTAGATTGGTGTCGGGGTAAGAGAAGACGTTACAGCCTTGCCGGTGCCTGACCTTGAATGTGCGTCTGCAAGAGATTTTCATTCAGGAGACAAATATGGAAGCCACTGCTCTCACTTGGTCCAGGCAAGGCAGAAATTTGGGGGAAATATGAAAAGAATGAGAGCTGAAGCTGTAAACAGCATTTATGGAAAATGCTGAGGAGTGTTCAAGTCCTTGGATACCTAACTCCCTTAGAAGATACTAGAAAGGAAACCCAGAGTAAGGGAATGCTCCCAATTCTCCCAGCCTGGCTCCAGAGCAGAGGGGCTCCAGGCCTCTGTATCTACAAAGAACAGCCATTTTGCAGCAGTTCACAAGGGATGAGATGTGCACAGGCACTGCCTGTTTTCCTGAGAGCTGCAGCCTCTTCTTTTAGGGCTTTTGGGCAGGACTTTGGGTTCAAGTCCTTTCCCTGCATTCTAACTGGTGATGCTTGCCAGCAAATTCAGCTGAGGCTTCAGAAATATGATTTTCAAAGGGATCCAAGTAATAAACACAAGCTGTACCTGTCCAGCCCAAACTGTCTCAAGCCTGATCTACTTACTCAAAAGATTCATTTGAAATATTTGGCTTATTTTGAGTAGAGAGCTGGGAACTCTCTGTGTCCATGGCACATTCATTCTCCCTGGCTTTTCCACCTTGGGAGACTCACTCATTTGCATTCAAGATTTGTTTTGGTGGAAGAGGGGATCGGACAGATTTTTTTTCATGGAGAAAGTCTGGGATGAACTTAGAATCCACGACAAGAAAGGTCACTGTTTGATTTCATTATTTTGAGTTGTTTTCCACCCCATACTCGGAGCAGCCCTCGCGGCTCAGTAATTAGCAGTGGAGTGGAGGGGGAGCGTGCTGGACTTTGACCCCATCTGACCTGATTCATACAACATTTCTGATTAATGCACCTGGTCACATGGCAGCTGTCAGAGACTTGTTGCTGGGCATCCAGAGGTTTCCAAGGGAACCGCTGCCTCTCCTGCCGATGCTCCTCAACAAGTGAGGGAGAGCCACGGTTCGGTCCCAAGGGCCTGACGCCAGCCGGACAGAAGACAGGAGCAAAGGTGTGCGGAGAAACCCCCGCAATTGAAAGCACTCGCGTGGAATTCGGTGATGTTGCTGGCGGAGCGGCTCGGGCAGAGCCCTGCGGTGCGTGCTCGGCTCCCCGAGCCGTGAGCCGCCTTTGGCTCAGCCCTCCCGGCCGCCGCTGCACGCCCATCCCAGCCCACGCACCCCGCACATCATCCGAGCAAACCACATCACAAACCGAACAACAGCTCCAGAGCGGAGATGCTCCATGGGAGCTCTGCGCAGAGGAGCTCGAGGACACGTTTGAGACCCCTTTCCTGAGGTGTGTTTAAAAAGTCTCTTATAATCACAGAGGCCTCGGTGGAAGCTTCCACCGCTGCACGCCCGGATCCAGCCTACCTGCCTCCCTTGCAGGCTGGCACAGAGCTCCCACGTAGACCAATCTCCTCTCCCTCCCCCAAACCCCTTTCCCTGCACATGCAGCTGGAGCTCTGCCCACACGCAGGCGTGGCAGGCTGCGGGCACAGCAGCTCCTCGCACCTCCCTCCACACTCCCTCCCCTGCTACCTGCAGGCACCTCGCTCCGAGCACCGCACAGCCCTGGTGTAATCCCCGCCTGTCCACGCACAGAGCAGAGAACCACACCTCTAATATCACTGAGTCCAGCTGTTAACTCACTACTGCCGAATCTACCTACAGAGCTTCCAGTGCAAAGGGAAACTGAGGCACAGGCAGTCTCTGCAAAGCTCTCTGCAGTGCAGAGGGTACTCAGAGCCACAGCTTTGAGCACAGCAGGAGGAGGCTGCAGGACAGAGGATCACAGAATAGTTTGGGTTGGAAGGGACCTTTAAGATCACCCAGTTCCATCCCTGCCACAGGCAGAGACAACTTCCATTAAACCATTTACGTGATGGGAAGGGAAAGATTCAGAGTCTGGTTCCTCTACCTGTTAACTTAGTCATACATCAGAACGTTTCATGCAGGAGGTGTATCCGACTGAGGAGAAACGTTATTTGGACTAAGACCAAAGGATTTGCAAGAAGAGCATCCTGGGTTTGGTTTGGGTAATGTTAATTTTCATTCTAGTAGCTGGAGGCACGATCAAAACTACCTGTGAGACAGTGTAAGTGAAGGATGCACCAGGAAAGTACAACTCCAGAAAGGGCAGAGAAGGCTACAAATGAACAGCAGCTCGTTAGAGTCGAGGTCTGGACAGACTCAGACGCGCTGGTGTGGGGCCGAGCTCTCCCTCCATGCTCAGATTACGCCTGCGAAAGGACAAGGG